GGTAGCACTTTCCTGGAGCGTCAGACAGACGATGACTGACAAAGACAATAGAGTCCTGCTGGAGTAAGACTGACAAAGACAATAGAGTCCTGCTGGAGTCACGAGGGTGGCAAAGAGGAGGCAAATCCTACTTTGATTGAACTAAGTATCACTGGTATTTTATTTTTATTTGGTTGTTTAGCCCCTCATGCTATAATCATGTGTATTTTCTCCATTCCTGTCTCCACTGACATCCAACATCTAGTTACAGGCGGCCTGTGGAGTTCCACAGGCCGCCTGTAACTAGATGTTGGATGTCAGTGGAGCAGCTGACTGGCAGTTGCCAGTCAGCTGTTCCTAAGGCTGACTTCATCTCTGGCTATGCTTCCCTGCAGTCTCTGGATTTCCTTGCTCTCACTGAGACGTGGATTACTCCATCCAACACATCCACCCCAGCAGCTCTCTCCACAGCATATTCCTTCTCCCATACACCCAGACCCACTGGCAGAGGAGGTGGCACTGGTCTCCTGCTCTCTGCCAAATGGAGCTTTTCCCTCTTCAAGCTACCTAACTTCACTCCTTCCACCTTTGAATTCCATGCCGTCACAGTAACCCATCCTATACAATTAACCATTGTTGTTCTCTCCCGTCCACCAGGTGCCTTGGGGGACTTCTTGGAGGAATTAGATAATCTCCTCTCACACATCCCCTAAACTGGCCCTCCCGCTGTACTTCTCGGAGACTTCAACCTCCAGACAGGGAAGATAGACGAACTAACATAGCTGTTAACCGCCTTTGCTTTCTCACTGTCTCTGTCCCCACCAACTCATAAAGCTGGCAATGTCCTTGATCTCATATTCTCAAGGAACTGCACTACTTCTAACCTCTCTGTAAACCCGCTCCACACATCCGATCACTTCTTCATTTCATTCTCTCTACCCCTTTCCAAACATAACGAACTAATCTCTTCTCATCCTGCACCTGTCCGCCGTAACCTTCGTTCCCTCTCCCCCTCTACCTTTGCCTCATCGGTGCTCTCAGCCCTCCCTTCCTCTGACTCGTTCCAACTCCTACCTCCAAACTCTGCTGCAGAAACTCTCCTCTCTACTCTCTCAGCCTCTCTGGACTCTCTCTGTCCTCTCACATCTCGGCAGGCTCGTCAGTCCCCTCCTGCTCGCTGGCTAAATGACGCACTGCGTGCTAATAGAACCGTCCTTCGGGCAGCAGAGCGGAAACGGTGGAAATCCAAACACCAAGACGACCTCCTAACCTATCAGGCTCTCCTCTCCTCTTTCTCTGCTTCGATCTCTCAGGCAAAAAGCACTTTCTTTCAAGATAAGATCCAATCTTCCTATTCCAATCCCAAAAAACTATTTTCCATCTTCTCCTCCCTCCTGGACCCCCCCAAAGCCCCTTCCCCCTCCTCCCTTCTGTCAAGCGACTTTGTTAACCACTTTGAAAAAAAGGTTGATGATATTCACTCTTCTTTTTCTGACTCACCTTTACTCACCGCTGGGTCACCAGACCCTCCTTTCACCAACACACTAACCTCCTTTTCCCCTCTCTCTCCAAGTGAGGTTCTTACCCTCATTACCTCTGCCCGCCCTACCACCTGTCCTATATTCTACCGTTTCTCTCCCATTTCATCAACACTTCTCTAACTTCTGGTCACTTTCCAAACAGTCTCAAGGAGGCAAGAGTAAACCCTCTCCTAAAGAAACCCACTCTCAACCCGTCTGATGTTATAAACTACAGGCCTGTCTCTCTCCTCCCGTTCCTGTCTAAAACACTTGAACGCGCTGTCTTTAAACAACTCTCCTGTTATCTCCATCAGAACAACCTGCTGGATCCGCACCAGTCTGGTTTCAAGGCAGGTCACTCCACAGAAACTGCCCTCCTTGCTGTCACTGAGGAACTGCACACTGCTAAAGCAGCATCCCTCTCCTCTGTCATCATCCTTTTGGACCTGTCTGCTGCATTCGACACGGTGAATCATCAGATCCTCCTTCGCACTCTCCAAGAACTTGGAGTTTCAGGCTCTGCACTTTCCCTCATCACCTCATACCTCAAAGACCGTACCTACAGGGTTACTTGGAGAGGGTCGGAGTCCGACCCTTGTCAATTAACTACAGGGGTCCCTCAGGGCTCTGTTCTTGGTCCCCTCCTCTTCTCCTTGTACACAAACTCGCTCGGATCTGTCATTAGCCCGCATGGTTTTTCTTACCACTGCTACGCTGACGACACCCAATTAATTCTATCCTTTCCCCGCTCAGAGACCCAGGTCGTCGCACGCATCTCTGCTTGTCTAGCTGACATCTCTCAGTGGATGTCTGCTCATCACCTCAAGCTCAACCTTGACAAGACTGAACTGCTTTTCCTTCCGGGAAAAGATTGTCCCACTCTTGACCTAACAATCAACATCGGCACCTCAGTTGTTTTCCCGACTCAGACTGCAAGGAATCTGGGTGTGACCCTAGATAACAACCTGTCCTTCACTGCAAACATCGCTGCTACAACCCGCTGCTGCAGATACACGCTTTACAACATCAGGAGGATACGTCCCCAGCTGACACAGAAAGCGACTCAGGTTCTGGTCCAGGCTCTCGTCATCTCACGCCTAGACTACTGCAACTCCCTCCTGGCTGGTCTACCTGCATGTGCCATCCGACCTCTGCAGCTCATCCAGAATGCAGCGGCTCGTCTGGTCTTCAACCTTCCTAAATTCTCCCACACCACTCCGCTCCTCCGCTCCCTTCACTCGCTTCCGGTAACTGCTAGAATCCACTTCAAGACAATGGTACTTGCGTACCATGCTGCGAATGGATCTGGCCCTTCCTACATCCAGGACATGGTTAAACCGTACACCCCAGCACGTGCACTCCGCCCTGCATCAACCAAACGGCTCGCTGCACCCTCGCTGCGAAGGGGACCCAAGTTCCCATCAGCAAAAACACGTGGGTTTGCTATCCTGGCTCCAAAATGGTGGAATGAGCTCCCCATTGACATCAGGACAGCAGAAAGCTTACACACCTTCCAGACTGAAAACTCATCTCTTTCGACTCCACTTCGAGCGATAGAACTATTAACAAAGCACTTACATACTAATAAAGGACTGGCTTATCTAAAGCTAATTGAGTAGCACTTGAAATGTTTTTGCTCTATGAAACCTGATGTACTTATATGATTCTGTTTTCTTCAAGTTTGTATTTTGTTAGTCGAACGCACTTATTGTAAGTCGCTTTGGATAAAAGCGTCAGCTAAATGCAATGTAATAATCTCTGGTGGTCTGGCTTCTTAATTTTATCTTTATTAACTCAGCTGCCATTACAATATGGTACAGTTTGGCTCCTTTTCCAAAACCCTGTCGAGATGTAGCTCATTATCTGCAACATTTGACTGATTGTTAGCCGTCCTTAGTGACATAAGGAAGTCCTGTTGCTGTTTCTGACTTCTCTCAGTCTTACAGTACGACAAACGTTTAGCTTTAGGTACTTCTTGTGTTTCGGGATTTAGAAAATGCTAATGGTTATTCACTATAGTTTGATCTGAAGAAATAAGAGTTTGTGGATGAAAGCGAGTTCTGTTTTGATATTATTGATGGTACTACTATCCTCTTAATATTTGTCGGTTGCGCTATTTGTCTCAGACTCAAAATGAGCATACAAACAAACCAAACGTCCACACATAACAAATATGATGAGAACCAGAGTCAGCTATAGAGCTCTGATTAAACGTATTTCTTCCTCACTGCAGTCCACACCTCCAGGTCTTTTTTAATTTTCAAACTTGTAGTTTTCAGCCTCAAAACTGACTCATCATACAACTTTTGCCCAAGACCCGTGAACTTTAAATGTAAAATCGATGGAGTTCCCCTTAAATAGAAAGAAAATAGAGAACGTAGATGTTTAGGAATTAATGATTCATTATTTATTTATTTTAAGCTGATCTCCTGCTGACATTACAGACATGGAAGAAGTATTGATCTTCTTGTCATATCATTACATTGCTGAATAGAAATATTACAGACAGGCGTCCCTCACTAATCTCTCAGTGGCTTTTGTAGTCCTGTTGACACAAGTTGCGTCCTTTTATGTAAACGTAAAATTAAAAAAATCCCTCTGGTCACAACAAAATAAATCATTTTTTCCGTTTTTATAGTCAGTCAGTGATTATCCAAACGGTACAGAAGCTGTAATCATAAATCTGCATTCATAACACGGTGTCCAGAAATCACTCAACAAGCCAAGATACGGCCATGAAAGGTACCGTTGCAATCAACTGGTGAGCAAGCTTGCAAGATAACATGCAATTAGAGCATATTGACAGCCTGCTAGTCACTGTTTGTAGCACTGACAGACGACATCAGTTTGTTGTGATGCCAAAACAAACGGCAGCCAGGCACACTTCAAGGAATTAAAGCAGGAAGGCCATATTGCCCATGTGAAGTGAGAGGGGGGAGGTGTGGAAACAAGATATGGCAAAAAACCTATCTACCAAACACCTTTCCACCGGCTGATTGGCTGACTCGAGGCAGCGAACATGACTCAATCTTTATCTTGAATGCCAGCAGCTAAATTACTATACAGCTGAAATGTGTGTGTGTGTGTGTGTGGGTGTGTGTGTGTGTGTGTGTGTGTGTGTGTGTGTGTGTGTGGTGTGTGTGTGTGTGTGTGTGTGTGTGTGTGTGTGTGTGTGTGTGTGTGTGTGTGTGTGTGTTCCTGCGCAGTAAAGTGTACAGATGGATGACTCATCCACCAATCATGTGACTCATCAATCACTGCAGTTACCATTTTCCTCCTTCTGACTTTCTTTTTCCGTTTTCAGTTATTCCTCCCATTTCTCAATTCGATTCTTACTGTTTTTCTCATGTTTATTTCTGATTGCCTCGGAGTACAACACTTTCCCTCTGAAGGTGTTTCTCTGTCGCTGCGCTTCAGCTAATTGTCTTTTCTTTCGTGTAATCGGATGTGTTACTCAAGTATCAACATAGCACTCGCCAAAAAGCCATTAAAAAACTGAACTTTAATAAAATAATTGCTTTTATTTTTTATCATATAGCAAAACTAGTAATCATCATGCTGTTATTTACACATTGCACGGGCATATTTATTTCACACTGTACATCTTACAATGCTAAAGGTGACATCAACAACAACACTCTCCTTTTACAAGACAGATGGCTTCACTGCGGACACAGTGGCCCTCCTCCTTTTGAGATTTCTTTTTTTTTATGTTCACAGTTTATTCAGAGAAAACAGCCATTGTGAATTCCCTATACTGTTTTATTTTTTCTCTTTTTTTTTTCTTTTTTTTGTTCATTTTTTAAGATGCAAGTAGAAAGACGTGCATTTAACGGTTTAAGCACAATCCCTGACTCCCCGGCCTGAAACTTTTCAATGGATTTCTTCTGAAAATGAACAAAATGTTTGTAGCCTCTTGGTGGAAATCTGTTTTAAAAGGCTGCAGAACAGATTCGTGTGATTTCAAGTATTTTTTGTAAAGAAAGGTGAAAGTATAGATAATGAATGATGCAAGAAATATGGCCAAGGATGTGATCAACAAATGTGAAGGCCTCCTTCAATGTCAAGGAGTGGTGTGGTGGTTATGGTATTTATGGTGGTACTGCCAGAAATAAGTTAACACAAGAACCTCTGGATCCCAAAATGATTGAAAACCCTTCGTCCACCAGGTTGGAAGTGTTTAGTGTTTAAGTTTGTGCTTTTGGAGTCCACAGGGTTTCTACATTGGGACCGGTTGAAATGATAATATTATGCAATATGATGTTTCCCTTAAAGAATCATGCTGCTTGTAAGGAAAGAATCTAAAACCTTAACTCTGAAAAACTGAAATGTGTGTATTTTTGCACCTTTGCAAATTGCAGCTCTTTAAAGCTGATCCAATCAGGAATAAGAAAGGCAACTACACACATCAAATACAACAAAATATACTGTCATTGAACATTTGACAATAGCAGTGTTCTGTTTTTTTATATCCGTAGAAGTCATTGAACTACTTTAGTTTTGTAATATGACATACAGAATATAAAACAAAAGATACAAAGTGATGTTGTAAACATGGTTATCTTGCAATTGGCACATCAGCTTCTGAATGTGTCCACAATTGGATTACATGTAGGTGTGTGTGTGTGTGTGTGTGTGTGTGTGTGTGTGTGTGTGTGTGTGTGTGTGTGTGTGTGTGTGTGTGTGTGTGTGTGTGTGTGTGTGTGTGTGTGTGTGTCCTCTAGAAAACTCTGTATAATGCAAGAGCATCAGAGATTGACCTGAATGGAGGCAGACATACACCATGGTATGTTCTGTTTCAAAATGTAAACTGAGCAAGAGGCTGAACATGGTTACAGGGAGCTAAAACCGAGACCCCTTCATCGTCTCCCTGACCAAGAAAATCAACAAGAATTACAGTGATTAAAACAACAGAAAATCGTACTTTTTACTCCTTGATTCTCAAATTCTCAACAGGCCCAAAACACATATCTCATCTGAGTCATTTTTTTTCACCTCTCTTTTAGCCTTTCTCCAGCTACTGTAAATCTATCCCATCTCTGTCAGTCGCTCTGATCTGACAACATGTCCAAAAAGTCTCTCAATACATTCTGCGTTTCATGTAGATCCTCTCAATAAAGTTCTCCAGTTCCTCCTCACTGTTCAGCTGAGGCACCAGTCCATCTTCCTCATAGTCATCTGCCGGTGTGACTTGTTGATAGACGAATGGGGGTCTCCTGCCTCTCCTGGGCGGGGTTATTGGTTTGGGTGGAGGTAGGGATTGGTAGGTCCGTGGGTGAGGAAGGATATAGTTAGAGATATAAGGGGTGAGAGGCAGGCGTGGCGCTGGCTGCTGCCTCCAACCATGACCACGGTTCTTACCCCCACCTCGGTGCCTGCGCCTTGGGGGCTGGAGGTCAAGTTCCTGGGGGGCGAACGGCTGGTCTCTGGATGGGGAGGGCTTGCCATAGTACTGTGCTTTGGGATATGGGAAATAAACAGGGTAGTATGCTCGATATGGCTTCTGGTAGTATGGATAAGAGGGGAAAGCTAGAAATTGTTTCTGGGGCTTATACCAGTAGTCAAGCTGCTTCTGAGGCTTATACCAATAGTCCTGCTTGTATGACTTGACATTGTCCTTGTGCCATTTCTTGTTGGACTTGTTGTACCTATAAGGAGCTTTCTTGGGGTTTTTTGAGGCTGTGTAGTGGTAGATAGGAGGCGCAGCCAGAGGAAGAGGTACCAGAGGCCTAAAGCGCGGGGCAACGGGGTTGCTGTTGGTTGGCAGCATTTGCAACTCTTTCCTTTTCTTCTTCTTCTCTTCTACGTCACTAATAATCTCAATGACATCATCAGCGGGCAGATGCAGTTTGCTGCTGATCTCGATCAGCCTGTCGATCATTTGCTGGTCCAGGTCGTCTTCGTCGGGGAGGACCTCTTCGGAGCGCTTGTCCTCGGCGGTGTTGCTGGCGAGTCCCATGCTGCTTTTCTGCCGGGGCTTCATATAGGACTGTTGCTTTCTCCCCATGTACTGCAGCAGCATGTCAGAGGCGATGTCTGCCAGCCTCTGCTCCTCCTCTCGGGCTCGCTCCGCCTCCTCCTGCTGCCGGAGCACCTCCTGCTTCTCTGCGCGAGCTCTGGCCTCCTCCTCCATGTGGGAGAGGCTCTCCTCCTCTTCTTCAACCTCCTCCTCCAGCTCCTCACCTTCATCCTCAAATTCGTCCATGAAATTGCCCCCTGTGGAGGGTCGGTTGTTGGACTGGTTCTCCTCCCAGTGCTGCTTCTTCCCTGCTCGTGCTAGCTGAGTGTTGTATGCCTTGTAGCCCTTCAGAGGAGGCAAGATCTCATTATCTTGGAGACCCAAGTCAATGTTTTGGAAGTAGCCTCTTATTTTGCGCTGCAGAGAGGACTCTTCTCCCTGTGAGGCCGAACCTGTTCTTGCCTTGTTTAATAAACTTTCTAAATAATGTCGTCCCTCCTCTTCTTTCCCTTCTTCCTCATTTACACCATCAGCTCCCACATCCTCCACGGACCACCTTTGATCTGACCTTGTGTTTTTATCATCCTCATCCCTTTCCTTAAAGTCACCACCCTGAGCAGCTGTCAAATGGCCTACAATTAGCTGTTCAATAGCCTTATCAGCCCGTCGGCCCTCCTCTTCTCCCTCCTCCTCCTCCTCCTCCTCCCCCCTCTCACCCTCTGTCTCCCCTGTTCTGCTTATCTCACCACCCTCCAAGCCTTCAATGGAGGGCAGCTCCAGACTCTGATCCTCCTCCCAGTCTCTGTATGCACCCCCCTGGATTTCACTCTCCCTCGGGTGGTCCAGGGCCTCCAGAAGAACAGCGAGTACCCGCGCAGGGTCAATCAATTTATCTGATTGGTTATCTCGACCCGGACCCCAGCCCCGGTCTAGCGACGCGTTGTCAGGGCTGGAGATACTCTTGGGTGGGGGCGAGAGGAAGGGGGCGAGGTTATCCTCTTTTAGGTCTGTCCGGGTGCGCCCTTCCACCCCTCCCTCCCTTCCCTCAACCCACGCAGGGGCGGTGCCAGCCAGCTGTGGAGTGACAATGAGCAGGACCAATAGGATGAGCTGGGCTGTGGAAGGGGCGTGATGACAGGTCATGACCATGCAGAACTGGCAGGAGGGAGGTTAAGCACCTGAAGAAGAAAAGAAGAAGGCAAAGGGAGAGAGACAAAAGACACACAGAAATTATTCACTCTGTGAAAAATAAATAAATGCACATCTGAATCGTTGGAATAATTGGCTGTTTAGTGAAAAAGCCAGTCTTAAATGTAAAGAAGATGACAAAATACTTTACTGACGGAAGTAATAGAGCACAAATAGCCTGCCATTAATTTTAAATAGGAATTGATAACCAGTTTTTTTATTTTATAACAGAACATGTTTCCACCATGGAGGAGCCACCATACAAAAGCAGTTAATACTGTGATTAGTTCTGAATTGAACACCCGTTTGAGAACAAAGCACGCAGCCAAACGCAGTCTATTGAGCTATGCCAAATCCAACAAAGAAAGTTACACGCTTGTCTCTCTCATGTCTGTTTTTTTATTCCGTGTGTTTTTGATGGAAAATCTATTTCCACTTTATAATATTTATTTTCAGGTCCTTTTTTTGCCAATCCAACCTCATGCATCTGAAAACACAGAGATAAAAGGATATATAAACCCTTCGTGATTATTTCGATGTCTGACTGCCCAAGCCTTTGAGGAAGGTAACCATTTGCATATAGAAATTGCGCCTCGAACCTACATGAACCATTTATGTGTCTGTAGTCGTGCGTTAAACCAGTTATTATCTTTCCCCCGCCCGACCTAATTGATTCACGCTCTCATATGTTTGTGTTCTCATGAGATGTAACCGCATAAACTGTTACAACAATAAATATATGCACGAATTGAATTTTTGGTCCGAATTTCTAGCAATTAAGAAATGTCTCACCTCTTCCTCCGAGCCAACTCAACCAGGACGCAAGCGCTTGCCATTGTTGAGCGCAAAACGTCTATTTCAAAAGAAAAATGCAGAAAATACAAATTGGTCCGAGCTCTGTCTATGTATTGGCTGTGGTTTTGGTATTCCACGAGTCAAAGCGATGTGACCAGGACACCGGGATAAAGACGGCACGCACGGGGATGTCATGCGTAAAGCTGCTGGCTACGGTTGAGTTATTTAACCCTGCGGTCCCTGAGTGGTCCATCCAAATTGTAAATGAGCTGGATATTAGATCTTAGATTGCAAAGCCATTTTTTGCACAATGAACGTGGGGAGCAGTAAGAAACGCGGCGTTGTCCTCGTGTGGTGTGGACATATTTCTCCTCAGTGGTGGAATGCAGTCGAGCACACATTTGGGCAGCACAGCACAGCGTGAAGCCCAAATTGTTAACTATTTCCATTTTTATAAACTGGATCAACAAGGTGGGAAACGAAACAAATCCACTCTAAAGGTAACTACTCCGACAAATACGTGATTTAGACTCTCGGTTTAATTAAATTGGCTTTAACATTTCGCACGTTTAATTTTTTATTCACGATTGAAAAAAATATGGGCCGAATTTGTACATTGCTCTTGAGAAGCAACTGCACGTAGACATTTTTCTAAGACATTATTTTATGCGCATTGAAGTCACTTAATTCTTTAATTACGCCCACCCCACAAAATATATACAAAACAACATATTTTATTGGGTTTTTTACGTTACAATTCCTAATTATCATGATAAATATCAATGCATTCATGTGCATTGATATATTACATGTGTTTGTTAATAAACGTGTTAAATTCTCAATTAAGTCAAACTAATAAATAAAGAGAAATGATAAAAGGAAACTAACTGTAAACATATTTTTCTATATCTCAAGTTACAAAATCTATTTGGTATAACTTTATTTTTTTAAAGATCATATCGGTCGCAGCAGGCTATACCTGCTTTACAATTACAAAGCCAATTGTCACCAAGCTGCAAAAAACACATGAATTATTTTGATAAAGTTGAGATCGAAAAAGAAATTATTCCACACTCATCAAGCCTAAGCATAAATCACTCCTTTATTTTTTAATACAAAACCAAATCAGAAAGTAATTACGATCAAATGAATAACAGTAAGAAAATGTCCTGACCTATCTGTCATGGATTGAGATGGAAACAAAATTAAATTTCGTTCCACTTACCTGGAGTCCCACAGGGGGGTGGGGATGTGGTGAAACTCACAACGCGGGTAAAGCCAAAATTATTTCATGAATGGTGGATCACCTGAGACAATTTCAGTTTGTTCCCCCTCTCTCTTCAGGCTGTGACCAACATCAGGAAAATAACAAACAGGCTGATCTTTATTTAGTTGTGCGGTGTGTTTGAATGGCAGCAGCCCTGGCGCTAATGTACAATTGAGTGAATGTTTTCAGCTCCACTGTCAGCGCAACTTTATTGTATATACCCCTCACTGAACCATGTGACCACACCCCCACCCCCCAGCTGCAGCCTGTGCTGACGTCACTTCCATTGATAAGAATGTTGGTGTGGAGATGGCACTGTGAGTCTAGGCTGGCCCCAGCTGATGAATGAACGGAAATGGCATGAATGAAATAGTACTTTTCCTCAATGAAAGGAGAAAATTGTAGAGATAGAGCTGGTACGCAGCCATTTTCCTTCTCACATGTTAAAGAAGGTTAGTGTGTTCCTTCCTTCCTCTGCTCTGACATGTTTAAGATTCAGGGGTGGGGGGAGAAAAAAAGTGACCTCGTTTACAGGCTTTCAATTAGGGTCATTTAGTGACGTGCTCCAAAGAATCAATGACTTGCATCTGCGGCTTCAGACAGAAAAGTGGTGTGCACTCCAGGGGCCGTTTTTCTTTCTCAGCCCTGGGTGTTGGGCTTTTGTCTGAGGTGGCCCTGATCCTCTGGCTACACGGCTCTCAGGCCACGGGAGCAGCCGTGCTTTGCTGCTCAATTTCGGCTCAATTTCCAGGGATTGCACAATTTTCCACACGCTGTCTCACATGATTTCTGACTGCTCTCCATCTGCCAGCAGCACATTGTGCAGTTAAAATATCCCCATTCTTTTCACACCACAGAGACACAAGTGAGTAACCATTTGTGTCCAAATCTGTAACACTGTACAACACGGGGGCTAAACGCATGCTTAAGCAATGCACAATGATTATAGATGAATGAATTCAGGGTGTTTCTCGCCTTTAAGAATATAGTCCCTATGTTTGATTGTGATCAAACATCAAAGCTAGAATTAGACAAAAATGGTTGAGCATACTTTAACATTGTACAATCTTACATATAAAGTTGTCCCTTCCTTCCTCTGCTCCAACAGCTTCATATTTATATGGGAATTGGTCCTGGTGCATGATTTGATGCATAGTTCTGAAATGCCCTTTTAGCAGCTAATTTGGTGGTCACTGAACTATGCGTAAACATTCATTGGTGGAGGAAAAATCACATAAGCCCATAGTGACTCAATAATTCTTAAAAGTGACCAACAGTAGTTCATGATGCATTCATTTATGATTCATTAAATGATTATGACTCGCGTTAGCTGCGCATCACTTGAGAACCTTGTGTCACCCACAAATGAATGCTACATATTCAAATATACTACTCCCAAAAAAGCTTTTCTAAATTAAGACTTGTATGCCCTCTGACACTAATTCTGATCATTATCAAGCAGAACATCTCAGTAGCTTTACTGGAAAGGTTCAGAATTGACTTAAGTCTGCCCAAAGGCTTTAAACCTCACTAGTCCTGCCTCAAACAGGATAAGAATCAAAGGCTCACTGAAGTAAACAACTCTGTGTTGTAGAGGGCTGCTTTGATCACATGACCCACTCATGTGCATTCACCAATGTTCCTTTTTCGACTCTACTTTATTTTACTATAAAATAAAAACCTCTTTCACTGTCAACCAGTCATTCCCAAGGTTTGCTGTAATGAATCATTTTGTACATTATGGTTCAAGGGCAAATAAGCATGTAGCTCTGTCTGATATCCAGCTTTCTTTTTGTGCTGAAGTCAAAGAAATACATTACCGGCATTCATGTGCTGGATAATGTAGAAACAAGTTGATTCACAATTTTAAAGCCAAGCTCATTTCCATACACTTCATTAGTTAGTGCCAAGCCTCCGCTGTGGCCTTGTGTGCCACTAAATCAGCTGTCAGTCCTCATACGGGCTTGTTTCTCTCTGCATCGAGGCTTTTAAGTCAAGGTGTGTGTGTGTGGTTGTGTTTTTTATGTCTATGTGTGCTGTGTTAATACTTGCACTGTACGTTCAGTTAACCAAAGGAATCCTGTATTATCAGCGCTGTTCTAAGGTTAATTGGATTTTAGCAGCAGACGTCAGTTGCATGAGGCCAACTTTATTAAGCCATTATGGAATGGCCTGATTCAAAATGTCACGCCCTACTGATGTGAATGTTCCATTTTTTATACTTCTTATCTGATCAGAGAAAATGATGTGCGGATGAACAGAAATATCACCTTTGATGTCTCATTCTGAAGGGTTTTAAGATGCTCAAAAATAAACACAAAAAGCTCCTAAGCGCTGCAGCTATGAGACAGACCCGTGTTTGTGATGAGTGAGAGGCAAAGAAACATGCACACTCTGTACCTGGGAACTAAAATGGCGCTTTGTTTCTCTTGTGATGCTGGTTTCAATTGTTCTGTTTGTGCAAAGATTTGTGTTGTGGTAGCAGACGAGATATGCACACATCAAATGAAGTTGTAATTTGTTACGATGGCTTGAGGCGTCGCATAACCTCTGTTTGATTAGATTTTGTGCAAGGGACTGTTTGCTGCAGAATGCGGAGTGTTTGCAAGGCAGTAATTGTGTGTGTGTGTCTTTGTTGAAATGCTTGATGGCAGCAGCAGGCTCGCAGAGGTAAGCATGGAGCCGGAGGGCAGATGCTGATATAACGGTCTGGCATTATCAACTGCCACTCAGTATTAGTTGGCCCCTTACCCTCACTCCATGTCCGCACCCCCGCACTGACTCACACTCTGCCGCCTGCTTGGCCACTCACATAGATTAACACTGGTACACTGTGCTTGCATTTAATGGAATACACACACTGGAGGACACACACACACCTCACAGTAATAGTTCAATTTCTCCCCCTGTTATGCACTCTGTCTCTCTTTCTCTCTCACACACATGCCCAGAGACAAACACACTCTTACTGTAATGTACATTAAGGACAAATGAACCTCTGGAGGAGTTGCGCTGTCACTGATGGTTCCCTGTACAAACTGCCAAGACAAGAGGTGTTGACTGCATGTGGATGGCCTTTTCTTTCACTAAATTAACTTCCTCTTTTTCTCTGTTGGTATTGGACTGAGAAGGGCTGCAGGGCCATAAGGCGGAGCTTAGAAATGGACATTTTTTTCAAAACAAGTGGGAGATAGAGAATGAGGAATTCTCATTTTTGTTTTGCTGACATTTTGGCCACAATTATGGTAATGTAGACTGGGCATCTTTCGGCAAGTGTGCTAATGCAGCTCCCTCGCACAGCACAGGGTTCCTACCTGGAAGTGATAAAATAGAGCTCATGATTAACAGAAGCTTTTCCGCCCACGCTACTTTGCCAGTAATTGCACCATAAGGTTCCTACAACACAATGCATAGCTGGGACTGATGATGTGTGCAGGGCCCGGCGCCCACACTGTAATCTATAGTTTCATCTGGGGCTTTTTTTTCATACATGCTTTTAAAAAATGTGAATTTACTGGAAGCTAGGTTCATAACATACATTTTTGATATACTTTTTGTGTGTCTTCCAAAGAGGAGACAGAAATATATTATATTATTCTCATTAGTTAATATTGCAACCTGAGTGAATTTGCGGGAAAGACGTTCGGTAACTCTGCGTCTGTGTGATTTTGTTATTGACATATTGCAGATGTTTTTCAAAAACATTGATATTGAAATGTTTGTCTTAATATTGAAATTAATCTAGGTGGCATTACAAATATGCATAAATATTAAAATGGGAAAACAGAATATGTGATAGGACTATAATAACTACGTAATTCGAAAACCAACCATTTGTCAGGGCCTCAATTTTGTATGTTTTGACTATTCAATATGTTGCCTGTAAAGAACTGATGTGTTGATACAGTTTGACAGTTAAAGCTTGAACAAAAGCTACATTTAGAAAGCTAAATATGTTCAAGGAGGTTGCATATACTGTACACCTTATCCTGTGATATAAAAATATACCTGAAATCAAACAGAAAACTGTATAAAGCGACACTATTCAAAGATGGTTGTGGCTTTCAGGAAAAGGAGAAGTCTTGAGAGGCTCAAATGTTCCCAATTTATTTGTGCTGCCTCCATCCTTTCAGCTCCCTTAAATCCTTAACCAGCGCTGCAAAGAAAAATGTCTCTCTGTTCACCACGGGAATGAAACACCATCCCTTTAAGAGTGATGGCTTTAACACCTCCACTGATGAATATGGTCTTAAAAGTAATATTTGAATCTATGAGCCAATATAGATGATGTGAGAGACTAAGCTCGGAACTGCCGCTGAATGCCAAACGTCTGTCGCATAAATTAGGCCTACGAGAAGAATTATGAAAGCCGATGGACCCCTGGGGAAGTGTACTCTGCGTGAATGATGTCTGCGCATATAGGTGATTGTTGTCCTACTCTCTCATTGTCTGCTACTGAGAAATTATTTACCCCCTTGAATATTAGCTGTAAAATGTGCAATGCGAGAAAGTGGTGGCGTCAGTGACGGATGGTGTTGGAGGCCAGAAACAGGCAATGAATTCGAGGTTGATGAGGCGACTCATATCAGAGCGTGCGACATCAGTGCTCACCATCAATCTCTTCCCCTCTCCCCTGTAGACATCTGGCACATGCATCAGCAAACACACTATTGGAAGTGAATTGAACCCAACCCTGACAAAAACACACACACATACACACACACGGTTTCAGAGACAGTGCCGCACATTCAAGGCCTCAAGACAAGATGCTGGGCCTGCAGCCAGCTGCCTTTAATGTACTACAGTAGAAACTAGACTTTATTAGGATAATAGCTCGCATTCACGTCATTTGCAATCACAGCACCAGAGAGCACAGATGGCAAAGTCACGGGCTGAAGATGTAATTGCAGGGAAATAAAGCTTTTATAGACCTT